GCTGCCAGGAAACAGGCAGTAACAGGCAGTAACAGGCAGTAACAGGCAGTAACAGGCAGTAAGAGAACACATGTGGATGGACATATACACCCCATACCGTGTCTGTAGACCAGATCGGCCTCACCTGACATGTAGGGACATGTCCACCAGGGTCACTGGGACAAATCATTGTGTTTGTTTAAGTGTGATATGATGTGGTTGTTTTAAAGGCCTCGTCTCTCTGCTCCTCCTTCTTTGAACCCAATCATTGCTTTGTTCAAAATCCTTGTTTGTCACGATGTCCTGATCAGATCCTATTGTATCTAATTAAATGTGAAAAGGACCAATTGTACGACTGTCCCTGCTCCACGTACCTGGTACAGATGATCCATTTTGTGAAGTGGCGTCAACCTGTGGCATCAGCTACATCAGGGGTCACCAACTATATTTGTCAGAGGGCTAGAATTTTTCTGGCCAGACACCAGTTGTGTCCCAGGGTGGATTAAAATTTAAATTATTGACATTTAATGAAAAACAGATTCTCTAATTAATTATCATCACACATTATGAGCATGTTCTGGTTGAAGGCACGATTCATTTAGCCGTTATTTCTGAGTTTTTCCGTCTGCACCAAGAGTCCACAAACTTTGCTCTGCTGTGTGACAGACAAGGACACGCTGCAGGTCATCACCACTGAGGACAGAGATGACGGAAAGTTTGATGTCCCGTTCGCTGCTGTGTGACAGACGACACTCATGACTGATAACTGATAAATGACCTGTGTGCACAACGTCAAGAAGAGTAATGTGTCTGGGATCATTTACACTGTAAATGTACTGTAACTGTTTATACACAAAGGCGTTTGTTTGCACGGCCTAAACTCCAACAATCTGTCTTAGGTGCCGAGGGATTGACTCCATGTCCACGGCAAACACTAGCTCTCGCCTAGAGCTCCCCTCCAGTCTCCAAAAGGATTAGGAGATAACGAGTGAAGAAATGTATCTTCATGAGCAACAATGAATGGTCGTATATTTAGTTCAAAACTTATTTTTATACAGATGTAATCCAACAGTTAATCCATGATGGACACGTTTTTTAAAGTAAAAAAGGAACTGGTTTTTCTAGTCTTAATAAGATATAAAAAAAGGATTAAATATGTCTTTAGTGGAAGTGGCTTCACATTGGTTACTGGTTGTCGTTCGTATCGAGACAATATTAATTATACAGTAGTAAAAGGTTTTAGTTAAAAATTGCACCAAGGTGTAGGTATATAGATATTACCCATGGTGCCTTGCATGCACAAACACAGAAAACTCTTAGTCCCCCCCACCCCCCACCACAATGTATTTATTTTTATTTGAAAACAGAGACGGCAGGATGGTAATTAACAAATGTCTCTTTATTTATTCTTTAAGCTCTGAACGCAGCACAACGCTGCAGCAAACAGTGTATATCAAAACATTAATTACCGTTTTTTTTGTCTCTGCCAGGAAATATAAAGTGTAGGAATTTTAATGCAGTTGTCAAGGGCTGTGGCAACAACACGGTAAAGATTTAAGTAACGACGGTTCACGCAAACAGACGCAGTGCAGTCGCCAACAAAGACGAGGAACATAACGACACAAAGGAATGAATGCAAAACTCGTAGAATAACGACAAGAGGGGAAGAAAGAAAATCTGCGTCTTATTTGATCTTGCTAAGCTGGTATTTTTAATTTGTTTTGCGTCCGTTTATTCTCTGCTTTTGTCAAAGTTTTAAAAATAGACTCTCATTTACATGTGCATGACATTATATATCACGTCAAGCCTTTAACTGAGTGTGAAAGAGGGAGTAAAGCAGCTCGTCGTATTCAGAGAACAAACTCTGGAGATGGAGCTGCTCTCCTGCAAACAAATATCTGCAATAACTCTGGGCCAAAACCACAAAAGGTTCTCCTTCGTGAGATGAGCCGAAAAAAAATGGAACAAACTGTCTGGAAGTGATGTGTCGCCATGAGAGGCCGCGGCGCCTCATCGGTGAGTTTGCGATTTCTCTCTCAGTTTCTCTCTGCAGCATATGGTAATTTTTTTTGTTTTTTTTTACAGTGACAAAATTGACCCTAATCCAAAAATCCTCTGGATTAAAACTCAATTAATTTCATTAATGTTGTTGCTACACTAGCCATTAAAATAGACTCTTCACTGAAATGATGTATAAAATATAATACAAAATATATAAAAATAGGCAGCGCTTCAATCCAATATGAAACTTAAGCTGAGGAGGGACAAAGAATGAGAATCAATAGAACAAATGTCAAGAAGAAGGAAAGCCCCCTCCCACCCTCCTCA